TCTCCGGGCACTCCGGCTTCCTCCCACAGTCCAAAGACATGCAGATTGGGGACTAGGTTAATTGATAACTCTAAATTGTCCGTAGGTGTGAATGTGAGCGTGAATGGTTGTTTGTCTTTATGTGTCAGCCCTTTGATAGTCTGGTGACCTGTCCAGGGTGTACCCTGCCTCTCGCCCGATGTCAGCTGGGACAGGCTCCAGCCCCCCCGCGACCCTCAAGAGGATGAAGCGGTTAGAAGATGAATGAACTATGTTTTCTGTAGTGTAAAGTGTATTCTTGTATTTTCTTTTCCTTATATTAATATGGACATACCAAACACTTGCTCTGAACAGGTCCATTTGTATTTTCACATTGGCCACTGTAGTTGGCAGCATTTCCATGACGAGATGAACGGCGTTGGGAATATACAGATTTTTAATGCTTTATTCATTGTTTTTACTGGTTTTAATCACAAGATCTGTTTGATTTAGAAAGGAAGAGACCTCTGAGGATAATACAGCTCCCAGTAAAAGCTCAAAAAGACAGGTCTGCCAACTACTCAGGGTTGCTCAGGTCAAAAAGGCCGGTACCTTTTTCATCTCAGGTTTTAGATTAGAACCTCTCAAAAACTGTCCCAACACTAAACCGGCGTATTGTGCATCAATTTCTGACAAGGAACTCACTGATTAATAGTTTTTATTATGGGGCTCATCACATCACACAGTGCTTCCTATAACTGATATTACCATTTGGTAACAATATGAACTGTATGTCAGTGGGAAAATATTGTTTTTATTTTAAAATAACTTACAGACCATTATAGTTGTTGTGTCACACAGCCTGTACAGTCTGTGCAATATCTTACAGTATCTACAACTTCTAGCATTTCAATATAGTAACTATTCAAAACTCTATGATACAATGAAATCACCAGCTGAAAGCTGGAAATGAAACAAGGTCCAAGGACATCAGTGTTACGGTGTGTGCACCTTGAAAGTGTAAAAGTGTAAAAATGACACAATGTGGTTTTAAAGAGGGATCGTTGCTGGTTGCCTGGCAACCTCACAATGATGATGATTAAACAAACAAGATATAACATGTTAATGAATGAGCTTTAGAGGTGCTGGTAGGACAGAGTCAGGCCAGCTGTTGCTGACTTTGAGTCTTTATGCTAAGCTAAGATAAGTGGCTCCAATTACATATTTATTATACAAATGTTAGAGTCATATCATCTCACATAAATCTCGGCAAGACAGCAAATAAGCCTGTTTCCAACATGTCAAATTTTTCTTTTATGGAGATCGTTCGTACTTAAAGCAAACACTGCCAGATAACAGCAGAGCGTGTGCATTGTTTTATGTTTTATCTTATTAATGTTTGTACGTTGAACAATGTCATGTCACGCCTGTCTCACTGTTTGATTAACTGAGTATCTACCTTGTTTGCTTCTTTAAAAAATGTTGATTGACTAATTTTATGATTCAGCTTCCTAGTTTTTAGTTCTTTAAATTTAGAACTTTACTTGGTAAACATTTGAATGTCAGTCTTAAAGTCTGACACTTTAATATTCCATTCCTAGTCTAATATTCTGTATTTTATGAATGTATTTAAATATTGTCAATAAATCAAAACCAAACCAAAAACATCCACCACTCTCTCCTGTCTGCACTTCCAGTATTACTGGAACTACAGGGTGCTATTTGTTCTGAGAGAAGTACAGGAATTATCTGACATCTCAATTGCTGGTCTCTGCACCATCAGCTTACTGAAATTATAATAAATAAGTCATTAATGAAAGTCCTCCTCTCCCTTTCTAACTCTGAGTCACATGTGGTCTACAAGCTCCAGCTCGGCTCTCTTCGCACATGTGGTTTGATTTAGTACTGTGGAAAGATTAAATAGGAAACTTGGAGAAGCAAAAAAGAGCAGTGTCCTTTCATATTATGAAATTTAACTGCATCTCTCGGAAGCTTTTATCAAAGCTACAGCATACTTTAGGACTGAGTACCTACTGAACCCTATCATTCTCTTTTATCGGGATCATGACTTGGTTTATGTGGAGTTCAGAAGGCCTTGCCAGTGATAGCTGGACGGAGTTACCTCTGTTTTAAGCACATGATGCAATCCTGCAGAAATGTTTCAATAGTTAACTCAGAAAAACTCTCATCATAAAGTTAAGAGATTACGTATGAATGTCAATATGGTTATATCTAGCAGTACAGGTAGAGCTCTGCATGGTGCTCCATGTATGTATCCAAGCACACAGTCAAGGTTCAGCACAGTTTACAGTAACATCTCACTGAAGAGCACATTTTCTTCTTTTGAAGTGAAAATACAGAGTGCCCCAAATTTGATTCGTTATAAATTCTTAAACAGGCTAACTGGTGTTTGGGGGAAGCTAGCACACCTTGTTACAGCAACATGTTGCAGTTAGACTAAGTAATACAATATCCAACTTCAAACAAGTCTTGTTTTAAGTTTGATAAAAAATTCATTATCTTCACAAATCAGCAAGTTTTGAAATAATTTCATGACGTTCGAGTTTTTTTCTCATGGGAAGCATGCCATTCTTTAGCAGTGTGTGGCAGCTGCCTACTGCTTTAAACACTGGCCTGTGGAAAAGAACAGCTTAAGTGTCAGTGCTAACAGGATTTATTTCCTTTAAAGTGACATGTGCTAAAGCACTGCTACAACGAGTCGTGAGCTGAGTCAGACTATATGCTATACATCTAGGCACATGAAGTGAAAGCACTGTGCTGTACCTTTTCTTATCAGAAAAACATCATATAAGCTGGAAATTGTGTTTTTCAATATGGAAAACTTTATTTTTCTCACATGCCTCAACAGTAAATGAAGAATCCAAAAATGGAGAAAAATTTTTGATGAATTGAAGTCATAGGGGTCCATGTTTAAAAACACCAAATCGATATTACACACCCATTTACAACATCTCAAACAACATGGCAGTATAATCCAAGTCTCAATTACTCAGTTATATGCTGACTTCACAAACAGACAGCCCTCTCCAACCGGGAACTGAACTAAAATTGAAACTTATCTGTGCTCAGGCCAGACTCCATTTACAAAAACAGCAATTTTACCTCACTGAACACGGGAGCTGCTGGTCTACAGCTGCCTCAATAATTTAGTTTGTTTGTGTTACTGCATGACTTTGGTGTCTTAAAGCGTTAGTTCAGGTTCAGCAAAGTCACACAATAATGCAAACAAACTACCGATAGAGGCAGTGGTAGACCAGCCGCTCCCATGTTCAACAAAGTAAAATTATTGTTTTTGTCAATGGAGTCTGGCTTTGAAAAGAACATAGATAAGTTTTAAGTAAGTTCAGTTTCTAATTGGAGAGGGCTGTCTGTTTGTTAAGTATTCAGCATACAATTGGATAAATGAGACTTGGATTATACTTCATGGGTTATAAGAGAGTTTGTAAATGGATGTTTTGATATAGTTTTTGCTTTTGTTAAAGAGAATTTTCTCCGTTTTTGTATTTTCCGCTCACTGTGGAGGCATGTGAGAAAAACAAAAGTTTTCTTCATGATTCCATTATTACACAAAATGAATAATTGATATACAAACGGTCATTTAGGGGATGAAGTATTCCTTTAATCAACAAAAATGAAGAAAACAATTTGTTGATGACCTTTTCACACAATGAAAATAAGACTAAAACAAAAGTGACCTCAATGTTTAGTTACAGGTTTGACTAATGTAACTAAACCACGACACAACAGCTGGAACAAACCTGGAAAGCATGCTGTCCAGCACGCAACCTAATGCTAACAAAACATTATCAAGGGCTGTGGATATGGAGCTAACATAACTTGGAGTCCACAACTTTTCATGTTTATCAGTAGGAAAGTGTGCAGGGTTGATGTCAGCTATCTAAATCTTTCTCAAAATGTTCACCAAAAGAATTCAGTATCCACCCAGTGATAACGCTATCAAGCTAAACCCAGACAAAAGTATCAGAGAACAGTAGCCGACCAAGCTCCTCTGTTCAAACAGCCAGAGTTTAGGAATAACTGGATCTGTTGCACACATAATAGTAGATTAGAGTGACATGAAACATTACAATCTGCTATAAACAGGTATGCAGTGCTATTTCTCTAACCTTTTAATGGGTGAGAAAAACACCTGTAAATGTAAATACATGTGTAAGAATTTCCTGAAAATGTAATAACCCCTGAAAATGTAATAACATTGGCACTTAACCTTATCGAATATGTAATATAACACAGTTAAGGAATAACATGACCAATAAATTGATCAAATGTAAAATTAATGTATTACATTTCAGTTAAAGCAGTGGTTATTGAAGTCAAAAAAGTTTCTACTTTTAAATGTATTTAAGTATTACGATAACATTTTTTCTCAATTTCAAATTTGATTTGAAATGTTTTTTTAATGCAGAAATTTCGTAAGATCGGATGAGGGTAAGGAGATTCATTTAATAAGAATTATTGCTGCCTTGAATGAAAATATAACATTTCATAAAAATTTAAGAAACCCACTTATAAGCTCGCTTGTGTAATGTTAGGCCTCTTCTGTGGCTTTGCTTGTGGTCTGCTGATGTCTAATCTAAGATCCACTCTGGTCTAATGGACAATCCGTGCGCACTGGCCTATCAGCGTGGGTATGGGCGGGTTCATTTCCCATTGATAGGGATTTTAGTCTACTGCATCTTTGCCTGATAACAACATATGTCTTGCCATCTGTCGTAAATTTCAAATTCTACAAAAAGCCTAGAATTTACATTTCCACAATTGAAATCGGTATCAAGTATTCGTTTTTTTTTTTCAGTAGGCTAACGTGACATTAATGATGTTATAAATTTTGTATGCTTGCGCACTTCACATTTCTGAGAGAGAAAAGCATACTTTTTTTTATATATCATTACATTACCTATCAAAATTATTACATTAATTTGAAAAAAGTGACCCACCCCAAAGGTTATTACATTATCGGTAAAAACATTATCAGTCAGGACATTTTATTACAGTATTGGTCAAGGTATTACATTGTTGAGTTTTATTACATTTTCATTCATGTTAAGTGCAAATCTTTGTACATTTTCAGGCGTTATTACATTTTTAAGTTATGACGTTACATAACAAAAAAAAAATGCTGACAATTTGAGCCTAAACGTTCTTTTTTTGTGAAATAAAACTTTTCTAAAACAAAAAAAGACCTCAAAATGTTCCTGAAACTAAATACTTTTTGTCAAAATGAGCACTGCTTCACTGACTGGCGGTTTGTTCAAACCACAGTGACGACAAAGAGAAAGGCCTGCAATGATACCAATCAATCAGTCATTTAGACAGAAAAATATTTATTGGTTAAAATAGCTTTTCACAGATACAATGAATGAGTTTTTGTCTTGCTATCATGCACTTACACTGTACAACAGTGGATCCCCATGGATTAGCATTGTCTGACAAATGACTATTGCTCCTGTTCTGTCAATGGAAGACATCTCTCACAGAACCAGTCAATGAAACCAGTGGCAGATGTCTGATATTATGCACTGTAGTGATTTCTGTGTTATAAAATAAATTAGTAACATGTGAAAACTCTTACCACTAACTGTGTGCATCATATTACATCTCTATCACCAAGATTTCAGTGCAAATGCCATTGTAGCTGAAAGATCCATGACACATGTAAGTACCGACAAAATGATGCACGAATGACAATTTAAAAAAAAAAAAATTACAATAAAAAGAAAAAGAGCCCAAATTGAGATTTCTCCTAGTGTTTGGTAGTTGTGGAGCTACATTGGCATACATTTTAATATAACTGACTAAATATTAGTCCAGATCTATAAGCAGTCTTCTAAAAACTCACATTTTTTTTATTGTGACACAGTTAGCTTGATTTACAGTACTAAATATCTATTTCTCAAGCAGCAATGGTTACATTGAGTCTGAAAAACAAAACAATACCTACAGAACAAAAAAAAAAAAATCATTCACTCAAATATGGAAAACAAAGAATCATTCTAGTCTTTCTCTACAGCCCACGAAAGATAAAAAAAAGATAACACACAGTAATAAAGCCTTTCTTTATGGAAGCCACATAAAAGCAGATCAGAGTTTGCTGTGTCACAGCAGCCTGAACCCTCAGCCCTGCCACTCTCACACACACCCCAAAAAAAGACAAATATAACCACAAAATGAAAACATAACACCACATAAATTCAAAGTTTATCAGGAAACAACAGTCCATGCTGACTGACAAAGTTACTAAAGAGAGAAAAATGTTTTTTACTGTCAATAAATATACAGTTTGTGGGGAGTTAATGTAAGATGTTTTCTGTGAGTAAGAGATACTGGATAGTAGTCAATTTTTTCCTCTTAGTGGTAGGTGTCCTACAGATGCCAAGCAATAAATATTCACTACAACTCATTGTAAGCATTCTCCTCAAAACCTTTCCTGTAAGTCACAGATCAAGGTTGAGCCAAGTGGTAAAAACTTTACATATAGTTGTCTGGACAATAATTCCTGTCTTTGTTGTGGCTGATAATTGATTTTAATTGAGAACTCGGATGAGAATGTTCTGGTGTAAGTGGAAACTGAAGAAAATGTATTAATAGTGTTGATTCACACATAAATGCAGCTTTAATATGCAAGCAAACTGTAAGAGCAAAGCAATGCAAGTGTGGCAGAGTCCATTAAACTTTCTGTCAATGCAAACATGTTTGTGTGTGTATGTTTTATTGCAACTTGTGTTTTATTTTTCTATTTCATACTTTTGGCTATTATTCCTGTTGGTTATAATAATGCCTCACTGATGAGCTATGCACAGCTTTATAACAGTGCACCAAGTGATCACACAGGGCTCACCTCACCTGAAAAACAGCACCATTAGTTCAAACAGCTACTGTGTATGACTTCCCTCTCTCAGGAGCTAAGGTGGAAAAAGAAATACATCTTGGGGATGAAGACAGTGAATGACTTAAACAATGGAGAAAAACATCCCATCTCCTACAGAAACTCTGTTTTGGTTTTGAGCCATAAAGAAACCTTACCAAAAAGTTGTATGTACTTTAAACTCTCGGGTGGCAGATCTGAAATCTTTCATATGAGTCTAGTTTGGTTCACCCTCAACTTGTGCTGCATTCACATGGAATTAGGATGATGGTAGATGGCAAATGGGATATCATTTTAGTGGACAAGATCTGGATAGTAAAATTATTTGAGGCAAACAATGGTTACCATATGTAGCACTGCCATTTAAATGTAAAATATTTTAACTTTTTGCCGACAGAATTTACAATCAGATGTTCCATAGCGTCCTCACACAAGGTGAAGACACAGGCAATCTGGACAATTACTGGGCATTACTAGAAAAATTACATAAAAAATGTTATATGTCATATAATTTATTCCATTCCTTGTAAATAATACACCATCACAGCATATCATCATACATGTTTCCTTTTACCTTCCTGCCATCCCATCAGACCGTGCCTTTAAGAAGGTGTTGTCCATCTGGTCCCTACCGTCTGCCTAATTACATGTGAACACAACATTATTCTTTCAGTTCTACATGGTATGGTGTAGATAATTTGGCTAAATTCAGGGACGTGTGTATGGAGACTGAGATTTGCCCGACTGGAATCTTCATTCTTAGTTTATTTGTCAGTGACAATGCTCGTCAATCAAAAGAAACAAAACAAAACTCTAAATGAAACAGAGTTAGCTCAGAAGGCTAATTTTGATCTGGTCACATGTTAAGACACAACTATGAAGGCACCCTGTTGTAAAGCTGTCACCATGCCTTCAGAAACCAGCTGTGACAGTGGTAAGTAAAAATGCTGTCACCAATAGGAAGAATAGCAGAAACTATGAAAACAAGAAAAAAATAGAATTGTCCTTTAATGTAACCTTGGCAAATTCAAACCAGATGAGTCACTCTGACCAGTGTGGTCCTCTGTTCTTAGACTGATCAGTGACTGGTTTTAAGGCACACCTCTGCACCTTTCCTGTGGCTGTTCTGTTTGCTTAAAGCTGGGTTAGCTCCACTAAAAGGTTATGGTAAAAGTCATTGAGAAAAAAAAAATATTTGCAACTTGTACCTTTGACAGTGTTACATAACAAGTTTTAATGTCTCTTCGAGTGACTAAGAGTCTCTATGCTGAAGACAGTGATTGAGGTTAGCCCCACCTCTTTTATGAACCCGTGTGATTGAGGGTTTGCTGATTCTCTGGCTGCACCCGCACATCCCGTCAGCCAGGCAGAGGTGGGAGGAGGAACCAGGTCTCACACATCCAGGTCGTCTGGCCTGGCTCTGCTGCTCATCCGGCTGCTGGCCCGGCTACAGGGCCTGGCGTCCATCAGCGCCAGAGGCTGCAGCTCGTGTCCTGCTGTTGAGGACAGTTTCTTATGCTCATGGGTGTCATCTGGGAAGTCAAAGGCTTGTGCATGGGAGTTTGATATAGTGCTTCCTCCACCATTCTGGCCGAGCCGGTTCTGCTCTGTGGAGTAGTTGGCCCAGTTCTGCTCATTGGCCTGCTTATTATAATTACGGCATGAGCCGGTTCCCCGCTCCCCTGTGGCCAGCTTGTAGCCTGGGGGGGACATGGGTGAGAGTGGGGCAGTCGGGGAGGAACAGCCATTATAGTAGGCATACTTGGTGGTGGACAGTTCTTTAGGGGTGGGACTCAAGGTGCCTCCACTGGGGTAGAGCATGGGCTGCTGTTTGCCCTTCACACGATCTTTGATCCGCTTAAAAAACACATAGAAAAGCTCGATGACATTAAGCAGCAGGGATACAAGGGACACCACCAACATGAAGATGATGAAGACGGTCTTCTCTGTGGGACGAGACAAGAAACAGTCCACCCTGTGTGGGCATGGGGACCTCTCACAGGTGTAGACTGCAGACAGGCTGAAGCCATATATGTACCACTGAATAATCAGGAAGCCCACCTCAAACATAGACTTGAAGAAAATACTGACTATATAGGTTCTGAGCAGGGCACCTTTCATCTTTACTTTGCCGTGCTCTTCAATGCCATACTTTAGCTTTTTCATCTCGATTTTCTTCAGCGGGATGTCAACATCACCTCCATCATTTTGCACGGCTTTAAGCTCCTCCTCCTTCCTGTTGAATTTCTGCTCCTTCCTGTTCAGGTAGAAGACATGAGCCAGGTAGAGGAGTGTGGGTGTTGACACAAAGATGATCTGGAGGACCCAGAAGCGGACATGGGAGATGGGGAAGGATTTGTCATAGCAGACGTTCTCACAACCAGGCTGCTGGGTGTTACATTTGAACGCAGACTGCTCGTCTCCCCAGGCTGATTCCACTGCAGTACCCAGAACCAGGATCCTGAAGATGAAGAGGACCGACAGCCAGACCTTTCCCCCGGCAGTAGAGTAGGCCTGGACCTTGTCCAGCAAACGACCCAGAGCACTCCAGTCACCCATTCTCAGGGAGCGTTAGCTGGTGAAAAAAAAAAGTTAAACAATGTTGAACCGAGGGTAGAATACAGACAGCACCAACTATTAAAACGTGAGTTCAGGCTTACACAGACACAGGATAACATGTTTGCTCCAATCTAGTTTGGATTTTTAGGAAAGACTAACAAGATTCTCAAAATTTGGCAGCATTATGTGATTAAACAGCATTGTTATTGAAGGAGACAAAACTAGATGTTTCATGACGTAAAACACAAGCTAATCCAATTACTGAGAGCAGGGCCAGAAAACACATTTTGCTCAGTTTGTGCAACGCTGTCCTTTAAGCCCAGCCCAGGATGTGAAAATATGAAGAGAAATTTGACTCATTAGGTAAAGAAAATCTTGATCAAACTTTGTATTCATAAAAAAAACATGCTTTAGACTGCACTGGAAGAGGAAGTTTAAGAAACCCTGTATCAAATCATGGAACAGTGGCAAATTTTTGTTAACCCTTCGGTAGACAGGAAACGATGGGGAAAATAGAGATGTGGAGGAAATATGTTAATGAAACATCGTTACTGTGAATATTTAAATACCGTGAGCAACGGTAAACATCTTAAAGTAATAAACTGTTCTCTTGGGGAAAAACAAACTTCTCTCAGTCTAAAGTACAGTCTTCAACCTAATCTGTGCTCCTGGAAAAAGAAACATGTTTAAGTCACATGAGAGGACTCTACCTGCAGTGTATTTCTGCAGCACTTCTGTCTCAGAGGTCCAAACTATGTCAGGTGAGAATACCTGCTAACTATTGTCCTGTACAGGTTTAAGGCCAGTTTTTAAAAAATGTGTCAATTTTTTATACATGTTAACAACTTGCATTAGCTTTTACCATTATCACTGTTTTTAAGGAGCAGTAACAAAGGCATCTGCTTCAGTGTTTTAAACTGTGAGCTTCAGTCCTGAGGCACAGAGTGAGGAGGAGAAAATAAATGAGGAAAAGAAGAGGCAAAGCTGGATCATCAGCAGACCGAGCTTGTCTGCTTCAGAAAACAGTAGAAAATTGACTGAATGCTGTCCAGAATGAGGTTGCTGGAAAAAAGTCACTATGCTGTGTGATTGTGTACCCAATCTGATAAGTGTGTGTGGCAGGACAGACAGTGCAGTAAATCTTGTTGTGTGCTTCTTTCCTCTGTGCTTATAGAGGAGCCCTGCAGATACAAAGAACATTTCCTCGAGGTAGATCAGCCAATTACAAAAAGTATGACATCAGCTCCTGTTGACAGTCCAAAAGCTTGCAAAGGTGTCCCGCTGAAAACTAAGTTACACTTTTATTTCATTAGATTAAAAAAGAGTCACAGTTAAAAGATGCCCGACACGGACTGGTGTACTCTGTGGGCCTGTGTACGTCCGGGCTCATCCCCTGAAAACGAGCGCCCTCCTTGGTTAAAATGCGCCATGACTGTCTCCTGTAGATGCAGCGGTGCTGATCTAAGTTTTGAAGCTGCTGAACAATAGAAAGTTACTGCTGAGCTACTCTGACTGGGCATTCCTTAATGTGAATTAAGAAAACACACTACAACAAATCATGAATCAAAAATGAATTAGTTATATTCAGCACAAATACCAAAGAAGAGGTCCTTTAAGGAGTTCTGAGAGTCTTTTGGGATTTTCTGGGGGGGGGGGGGTCTGTGGTTAACATGAGTCCTCAGCAAAATTAGCAGAGCGCAGTGTGATTTTAACTGTAATCGAGTGATAAACCACAGACTGTAAAACAGTTTAAATCCCGTTTTCACTCTCACCTTCACAGCTCAACCATTCCAAATGAAATCATGAGTCTTATCAGGGATCTGATGGAGGTTTAAAGAGTCCATAGTGGATCTCTTTGCCCACTCTGACATGAAAATAACCTAACAGAGCTGTTTAAAGGTCAGAGCAGATCTTATGAGGTCAACAAGAAAAGCCTCCAACAGATAAAGACATTTTACTCCAGAGAGCAGGGAGAATCTTAATGTGGAAAAGTAGGAGCCTCCAGTCTAATCTGCATGGTGCCAAACTAACCGCATGTGCTCTCACTTATCTTATAATAAACCACATACACTGTATCCTTATGACTTGGAAAATATACAGAATGCATTGTCATAGTGTAGAAGTTGTATGTGAACCTTCAGCCTTCAGTAGAGTCAAACATAAAACTTTTTTTTTTAAAAAAAGGGAGGAAAAAAGTTGTTATTAGACAGAAAATATCCCGCCACTTTCTACATGACTGAGTTTGTCTGGTGAAAATGACCAAGACAACAGAGAACAATAGGCTCCAACACAATGTCTCTCCCAGCAGACCTCTCAGATCTCACTGAAAACTCTGTACAGCAATTCCAATGACAAGTCACAGGATATGAATGAAAAAGTACTGGACATTCCACTTTTGCAGTTTCCTGGTGTCCTTGGGACAAATCCACTTTTATAAGTAAAGTGGTCACTGGCTTATAGCAGAACCTTTAAACATGAAACAGAGCTTTCCTTGAGTTAAAGTCCAGAGGACAGATCAGTGGCCCACATGGCAGCTAAGTTAAAGGCAGCACAACAGCAACAGGAAGTTTTGGATGAAAAAAAGCGAGAATAAACGTAACGCGCTCAAGATTTCAGTGCGCCTTAAATGCATCTAATAAATCAAACAACTTTTACGCTATCGTTTATCCCTGTAAGGTGTGAGCCTTCAGCTATATTTTCTTATGTTTAAGAGGAGGAGTAAAAAACAGACAAACAGGAGAGGAAAATCTTCAAACTTCTTAGGCTTGCGCTGCGTGTGTAGGAGCGCACCGGAGCTTTCCCGACTATTTCTAACGGGACTTCTGACGGAGGGGGGAAAGTTTCTTCAGACACGCTCTTTAACAAATCAAACAGAAAAGTGGCTTCAACTTACCTGGAAAGTTGCAGAGAGAAAGAAGAGAGCCCAGAGGGACTTTCTCCGCCACTTGTAGAAAGTTGAAATCCAAGTTTGGGACCAGGAGGGAAACTGAGTGAAACTTGTCAAACTTCCCTTATAACGGCCCCGTCAGAGAAGTTACAGTCACCTGATCTCTACGTCAAGACCGGAGCCGCTGTCTGCTGGGAGGAGAGAGAGCAAAGAGTCCTGCAGGAACAGCCAAGGTGTGGAGTTTGGTCTGCTGTTACATTCACAATAGAGAGGAGAAACCAAATGGTCTAAATACACATCTAAGTATTTCTTAAAAACACACACAATAGAAAATCATCAGGACCATTGGAGCCTACTTTACACAAAATGTATTAACATTAAGTGTATTGTGATCAGTGTAGCACTGTAACTACATTTACTCAAGTACTGCACTTAAATAGAGTTCTGAAGTACTTTTACTGACTTTAATGTTTCTATTTTCTACTACTTTATACCTAGGACACCTGGAGCTTCTTGTTTCTGTTCAGATTCAATTTCATATGCAACACTTATCAACTTAAAAAGCATTATGCATTGTGGCAGAAGTACCTAGTAATTAAAATCAGCTCCACCTCAACACTGAAATTCAGCCTCTGACAACACTGCACAATAAGCACTTTCTCTTTTGATACTCAGGTACATTTAAATGATGGTAGTTGTGTGTGCTTGTGTTGGTAACATTTCAAATACAGGACTTTTGCTCATGATGGAGTATTTTTACATTATGGTACTGATACTTTTACTTGAGAAAAAGATCAGGATGCTTAGTCCACCAGTTATTGCAATAAATCGGCAGACAATATTTTATACAGTGATTTTATTAACTCATTCAACCAGTTGATGAGTGTGAAAATCTTTTTCTTGAAATAAGACAGTTCAATGACCAAGTTCCACCTTAAATGATATCAAGGCCTTTCTGGTGTCGGCCGAAAAAAAGCTGCAGTGAATATGCACATTTATCTCTACTTTCAAGGAAAATGGGTTTTAACAGCTGCATGTAGGAGAAAATGACTTGTTAAGACAGATTTTTAGACAGTTTCTTACTGTGTTGAAGCCTTACATTTATTATATTATAGTGTCATGATGTAATTATAATGTGCTTTTATTGTTTCATACTGACATATCCTGTCTGTGAGTATTTGATGTAGTTTTTATTTTGGCTCAGAGTTTTCTTATGTTGACTCATCCCTACACTGGTGTTATTTTTGCATTATTGTTCTCTAATGTCTTATATTGCCCCTATGACTTTTTTCAAAGCCCAGTGTCTGTTTTTTTTTTCTTTCTAATGCCTCCTTGTGTTCATTTGCTGTGAAAAGGTGTTATTATAATTTGCACACCACTCCTGAAGTCAAAATAAAACCTGGTGATACTGAACTGTTCTTGTGTCTCCTGTAACTTTCCATTAAACCACTTGGATCTCCCATACTGCACTTGACCAGTGCACAGCTCCATCTAGTGATGGAAATAATGCAGTGCAGGTCTATGTATGGAAACACACCACTGTGTGCATGTCGAAGCAGTACATAGCATTAAACTCCACATGTTTCAGGATTTAATCAGGCCATTAGCTTCACAAGAGTAATGAGAGCACAAGCCACTAGCCTCTCTCTCTCTCACACACACACACACACACACACACACACACACACACACACACTGTTAGTTGCTTGAGGCAGCAGCAGATTGGACTGCAATCTGTGTGAAGATCCTGAAGATCATACTGTGGGTTTGGTAATGCCATGTAAGTCCATTTCAGTTATATCTGTTCATATTTAGTCACTTAAAGGGATAGTTCAGTTTTTTTAAGTGAGTCTGCATGAGAAACTTATCTATAGAAGGAGTATTACACACTGTAGATGGTGGTCTGTTTGCAGAATAAGACGGGACTAGCACTATCAAAACTAAAAATGTTCGTAAGGTGTGATACATTCACATGTATCAACTCAAAGGAACCAGAACTGTGGGAAGTATCCCGCCGCCCATCACTATCTTTAGTGCATTATCAGTGATGAATAAGTTTACATCAATAAAGATTATATTCATTTTAATGCATTTCAGCATCCCGCTTGTATGTAGTTAGGCTTGGTAAGCTTCTTTGAGGGTAAATAGAACTGCGGACATTCCTCGACAATTCATGGCTCACCTGATCTGTTTCCTTTGCTCTTCATTATCAATGTGTTGTTTGAGCAAAAATATGGAACATATCCTCTCTTTAGCGTCTATATCGTTTCCACATTATAACTTTAACTTCACAAACACACTAAAGATGGAAGTACAACTGACCGAGGAGGTCCCATCCTACCACTGAAGGATCCTTGACTTTGAGAATAATAGACCTTTTTCAATGAAGACATTTTGACTTGTGCACCTGTGCTTTTCCAAGCTTTTCCAAGCACAGGTGCAAAAAATGAAATTAATGATGGCTGAATCTAATTTGGCTAATCTGATTTCAGGTTCCTAGAATGGTGCATGCCAGCATACTGTCTCTCCTGCTTGAATAGAACAGAACCATTGTTATTGCTATTAGTAACACCTTTGCTTTTCCTACTGTGACAAGTCAAAATGTCTGCTGTGAAAAAAGTCAGTAAGTAAACTTGTGGAGTGTGACAGTTGCATGTAATAACACACTTCATATGCCTTGATTCTGTCGGTTACTGTTGCTAAACTTCTGTCTGTTGCTACAGTGTATTCAATGTACCCTCAGTCCTCATTTTGTGTAAAGAAAAAAAAACTTTTTAAAGTTCAGCTGGAGCTAATATAAGGCATCACCATGCTGAGTCAGACAAACAAAGTGGGTATTGTCCGAAGTTAGGCTAAATTTCACCTTTGCAGAGCCATGGCAGAGGGACAGGAACACACAGCTGGAGTTTGGGACCAATATGAGTGTAACTTTGGATCATACCCAGCTGGTTAATCTTATATGGATCGTTAAAGCCCCTTACCATATTTGGTAGAACTTTGGTATACATTTTTACACAGACTGAAGAATGTGAACTTACAGTCATTTACACTGAAATTGCTTTAGGAGGGGATTTCTTTACAGACAGCAAGAACAATTTAACAATTACAGGGACCAGCAGTGGTTAACGCACATGCAAGCGTGTGAATTTTGTTTTGAGACAGTCTTACAAAAATTGTGAACCTATCCTTTAATATGTGGCTGGCTGGAGAGAAATCATGCACTGCCACCGCCATCTAGTGATGTGTTATGGCAACAGCATGGTAATTCTTAAATAGTGTGGACTGTAATTTAACGGCAGTTTTGTTTAGGGAACTCAGCAGTTTGCTTTAATCTAATTTACATGTAATTTATTTGTTGTTGTATTTTTTTAATGTAGAACACACACGCTGATATTCACTAAATGCTGAGTTATATTCAAGATTACAGGGCAGGTATTACAACTTCTGTGCTCACCAGCAGTGGCAAAAATATGAATACTACAAAAATGACCCATCAGGATTTGATCCATTCTGTCTAATAACTTTGATACAAATGGCTGGGACACCTTCTTTTAACTCTGTATCCAGTTCACTTAGATATTATTCAGCAGCCTTAATGTAAATGCATACTTAGCTGCAAATGTTTCAAATGCCAGACATGTTATTTTTTACTGGAAGAGATCGGATGAGAGTTTAAAAACTGCACTGAGTCACAGTAATGCTGCAGGCACAGTAAACATAAATTCCTTCTTTAATAGAAACATGTGGTCACTTGTTTAGAAATATTTATTCTTACAGGTTCCAGTCCATAATCAGAGTAAATAAAAAAACAATATAAAGAGACTTTAGCCACTAAGGTACAGAAGACTACACATTAGGAATAAACGGCATAGCCCCCTGTATTCAGTGTGTGCTCCTCAGTGGCAAGGTGCAAGGGATGGATGAGGTTTGCCCTGAGTTGCCGAGACCTCTGGATATTTTTGTGGTGTCCGGGGAAGTGGTTCCTATTTTTTAAAAGGGGGGCTGGAGGGTGTGCTCCACTTATTGGGGTTTTGAACTACTCATCCTCCCCAGAAGAACAGATGCCAGGGTGCTGTAAATGAGGTGCCGGTGGTGACCTGGTGGTGAAAAGGTGGACCAACTTTATGCCCTTACACAGTTGTTGGGGGATTGGGAGAGGTTGCCCATCATGTGTTTTGTGGACTTGAAGAAGGCGTATGACCGTTTCCCCTGGAGAGTGCTATGGGGATGCTGTGGGAGTATTTGATTTGAATTTGAAAATCTTTATTGTCCCCTAAGGGCAATTTAGTTTGCAACAGAAGTTAAAAACACAATCTTACAATATCTCACATTGCAGAGAATGCATACATCCAGATACCCCAGACACAATACAAATAAATACATGTAAATACACAGAGTCAGCACAGTTCAAGGGTGCATCATTCCCATCAAGCTTGCCTACAGCTTGTTTAAAAAATGAATGGCTGTTGGGACAAAGGATTTAAGTTACCGATTTGATTTGGCCTTGCAAGTGAAAGTGTACCTTCTCTTAGACGGGAGAAGCTGAAACTCTGCATGAAGAGGATGGAGAGGGTTTGCCAGAATGGCCTTTGCCCTCTGCGTGGCTCTGGTTTTAAAAACAAAGTCAACGTCATTCAGACTCATGCCGATAGTTTTTTGGCAGAGTTTGACAATATTCCTCAGCTTGTTTTTATTTGAGATGCTGAGGTTACCAAACCAACAGATCATAGCAAAGTTTAAAATGGACTAAATAAAAGAGTAAAACATTATAAGAAGCTTTTTGTCAACATTAAAACACCTCAGTTTCCTCAGATAAAATAACCTTTGATTTGCCTTTCTACAGATGGCATCTGAGTTGGTCTCAAAGGACAGTTTGTCATCCAGGATGGTGCCTAGATATTTGTACTGACTGACTATTTCTACAGCTTTACCATTAACAAAGGTTTGGGCTGTGACAGGTGGATTCTTACGAAAATCAAGAATCATGTCTTTTGTTTTTGAGACATTAAGATGCAGATAAGAATCATTACACCATCCAATAAAATAGTCAAAGACAGGACCATGTCCATCCTCATGATCCTGCAGAAGGCTTACAAGCACGGAATCAT